CGCCCACCGCGCCCCACCCCGCCCCGCCCCGCTCCGCCCCGCGCTGCGCTGAATGGAGAAGGGGCGGGGGTGACCGAGGGAGAACCTACTCCGCTATCTGCAGCGCGCGCCGGCGGCTGGGCCGGGCCAACCGCCGAATTTAGTAACATCGCCTGCGTCAATCACGCGCCTCGCGTGCGTCAGCGCCGCGCGGCTCCAGGTCCTGCTCCCCCCACCTCCCAGGCTTTGAATGGATACAATGCAGCAGCGCCCTCCTTCCTTCTGAGACTGGATTGGAACTCAGGCCAGTGCAAAGGCTCGAATCCTGTCTGCCGGGTCAACTTTCGGAGCATCCTCCCACGGTCTCCCCCACCCCACCCTGTCTCAAGTGGAAGTGGCAAAGAAATATACCCGTGTCATATAGGGAATATTGGTTTTGTTTTCAAGTTTCTGGTGCTAGCTAGAACCTTCTTCGATTTGAAACGTGTGCTGTGGACAACGGGATCCTCCCCCCACTACGCCCCCCTCACACAAAGATTGTGACAAGTCAAAGAAATAAAATGTCACATCTGATTCAAGCAGACACGTGGGGACCATGTCTGTCTGCATTGTTTCACTCAAATATTTTCTCAAAATTTCATTTCTTTAAAAGACGTTGCTTTCACTCAGATGCAGCCTTTGGAACTAGAAGCCTTTGGCTCTGATAGCATTTTGGTTTTGTTTTCAACAGGAATTTCACTCTTAAATTCATCATTTCCAGAAAGAAATTGCTCTCCCTCACACAGTCGCCCAGGCTTTCGGCACACCATTTAATGACAAATGTGTCCCAGGAGACCAGAGCAAAGCCCTTAGGAAGGGACTAATAAATACTGTTGATTAATTTCTAAATGTTTAATATGGGAGATGCGGGGGGGACGTCAACAACTATCAAAAAGTGAAAGTGCTAGCTGGGAGTACCATTTCTGACAGAGGAGCCGAGGGACGGGGGAGGGGGGGACTTGCAACAGTCAGATCCGCTCAGCTGTTCAACACGTGTGTGTTTTACACACATTTAAATAGTTTGTGCTGCAGCGCGCACACGGATGATGGATGTGCATTTAGTTGGGTTATAATAGGTCCAGTTAGGAAACTTATGCCTTAAATATAACAAATAAAACCTTATCTTCCCTGAGCCATCTGCATCCCTGTGTGAAACATGCACCCAGCAAATGATGGGAGGATAGGGATTATAATGCCTAGGCGCAGAGGGCCCGAGAGACGTAAACAGCTTTAAAACTGGCGGAAAGTGCAGCTGCACCTCAGGGAGTCTTTGGGTCTGTGCCTGACTCCTACACCGGCTGCCAG